TTACCTTTTCCTAATTTCTTCTTAGCGTTCTATTTACTATTTTCTTGTCATTTATTTTCTTCTCTCTCTCTCTCTCTCTCTCCATATAACATGTATATATGTATTTCATTTTGAATGCAGAAAGTGTGTGAAAGTGCAGCTGTATTAAAGGGAAACAGACGTCCACACGTTCACTCTTTCCACGCTTCTGCACTTTTTACACTCAGAATAGAAGAGAAAAACAGGAATGGAGTGTACGTGGTAGGAGAGGCAATTGGGAAGAAATCAGCAATTCTGCGGACACATTTCCCTACGGAGGTGTTTCCTCGCCCTGTAGGAAACGAGAGTGGAAGCGAGATTCGATGGGGAAAGAAAGATGGGCGAGAGACGTCGCGTAGGAGTGCAGAAAGTACATTCGCGACGGACGGCGACCCTAAGGTCGAGAGTCGCTGATCGCGCTCCTCGGTCACCAACTTTCGTCCCTACGGTACGCTACGTCGATGGTTTTACTCACCGTGATTTAGCGGGACGTCGCGAGACCCCCGGCTCGAACGAGGCGTCCTGAATTCGACGGACGTCAAGTCGACGGGACGGCGTTTTCGCCAACCCGATTTTGCGGCGTGCAACAACAAATCGCACCGTAATTCACCAGTCAGCACTCCCGACGATATGGCGAACGTCTCGTTCGTGTTATTGTGCAGAGGGGACGGGCGCACTCTCCCAGGGCCGTGCGCGAAGGGATGCCCCCCTTCCCCGCCCCTCTTCTTCCTTTCGCGCGAAAAATATTGCGATGTATCTTCAGACTTAGGTAGATTAACTTTCGACTCTTAATTGGAAGAACTTTTGCGCAAAAGTCTTCCATTCGTAAAAGTAAAATATATATTTTTTTAATTGAGACTATTTTATTCATTTATATTTGTTGAAATAGAAAATTTAATTAATAATCATCTAATCATTTTCCGTTATCTTAGTACATTCCATATTTGTGGAATTACCAACAATGTAGATTAATTTTAATATCAGCTTAAGTTACTCATCTTTTTCTAAATTCTTAATAATAAAGAAAAGCTAAACAGTAAATTAAATCGAGATTAAAGTTACATCGACAGAATATTAGATAATTTAATAAAAATGGATAAAGTTTAAAATACTCGTAATAACAGCTTATTCAATAAACGCGAGGGAGATCAAGCGTTAATTACATAATTGAATTTTCCAGAGATCCGGAAAACATTTCAATGAAAAAGAAAGAGCATTCTTGTTATGGGAAACGACGCTCCACGTCACGAACTTCGAGAGCACGATTCGTACATAATCAACGATCTCGCAGGCGACAATTTATTCACGACCGTCGCAGGCACCGGAGGAAGAACTTCAACAATTTCGTTCTTGTGTCGGGAGGAAAAAAAAACTTCCCGATTCCGCTCCGAGCGGAGGCGGAAGTGCGCGGATTATTGATTGACGGTGGAGCGCTGATACAGCCCTGATGCTCACCGCCAACCTCCCTGCCTCTCTCCCGTCGCCGCGCCCTCTCTCATCTCCCCTGGCTCTCCCCCCTGGCGCGAGCGAGGGGAGAGCACCACCACGGAGATCACATGCATGCACACAATGCGCAGCGCGCCGCGACGGAGATCGAGCACGCTCCAAATAGCATGCACCGCACGCGCGGCGAAGAGCGCTCTGCTCGCGAGCCGAGTTTACCTCGGCGATCTACGAATGATCCAGAAAATATGCGGAATCCGCAATCCCGTTTCCGCAATCTCATTTGCGGATCGAGTCTCGATATCGGTGATATCAGAGAAATCACGTTTACCGCGGCACGAATATCTCCTCCATTTGATTCCTCGTTGATTCCCCTTTTTCGGAAAATTAAGGAAAATTTTACGTGGCTTTTCCACAGACGTCGAACTGTAATCATAACGGAGAAGCATCGAGGCCCCCTTCGCTTCGGCGTTTCGCCTCGCCGTTACTCTGCCTGCCTAGCGAGAAACCGCGGGAACGAATCGCGACGACTTTTGCGATATCGCGTCTTATCGCGAACGTATCGAGAACAATTGGGTTCTCAGTTCCGCGCTTAATCCGCGGAATTCGTTTCTCCACGTCACGAAACACGCCACTCGTTTTAAGCTATTTGTATTTTCAAACGTTACATTTCCTGATAAGGAAAGATAAAATAATTTTTTTTAAGCCGCAACCATTGTTTCCAACTGCGCTCGTTTTAAGCTATTTGTATTTTCAAACGTTACATTTCCTGATAAGGAAAGATAAAATTATTTCTTCTAAGCCGCACCATTGTTTTCAGCTTCGCGAATAGTAAGTAGTTCGCACAATTATAAATTTTTGTAATAAGAAAAGTGAAAGCTGCTTTTATATCATTAATTATTTTATTATAATAATAGTATATTATTCTTAATTGTTATTACTAATTATTTATTCTGTTGATAATTCAAATATTAATAAATTGTGAAAAATAATGTAGAGCGCAGAGAACAAAAGACAACGAACGTTAGATGAACAATGTACCAGAGACAAAGGCAGTGATAAGTTTATTCGCGAGTGGTACTCCATTCGAGAACACGCCGAGTTTCTACGCGTTATGTCGAGGATTGTATGAGCAATGGGAATCAAACCTGTGCATTTAGTCGAGCAGTGTTGATGGCAGGGACAATTGCAGCTATGCGGTGACTTTCGGCGGAGAATCATCTTGGCTTGCCTGCCGGTCCGATACTTATCGTATTGTCACGGAATGTCGTAACTTGTACAATAGAGCCGGGTTGTACAATCAACACACTGCCACGACGCGGAGAATCAGGCTACAGCTCGTTTCACAAGGCGACTCAGATCTCTGTACATTTCAACGACTCCGGCTCTCCTCCTCGTGTCTTTTAACGCGTTGCACGCAACGGAGCTGCTGAAACACCACTGTAACAGCACTGCGTGTCGAATTGCGATGTACCGAATATCTCACGGATATGTCCTGCAGAGGAAATTCCTTGGTAGTATTCGATCTTTCCTAAGCGCACGTGTTCGTGGTCGAACTCAATTTTGATTTTTATCACAATTCAAAGCGCTGCAATCTGAGATTTAAATCTTGTTAACTTGTTGTGAAAGGAGCAAATGATATATAAAGAATCTGTCATGAAATTGTCACAATTAGGATTTACGTTCCGTATTAATTAAGCGTAAAAGCTCTGTACCGGGGCAGCGCTTTGAGCTACTCTGTATATTGTCGCTCCGGCGTTATGCAACGAAAATTGGTACACGACGCCGCAAGTAAATTGACGGTCGACAACGGCAGAAGTTCGCTCGCCGGGAGTTATCGTCGCATCGTAATTAAACGTTGCACGATAATATCGCGTTATTATGATCGACGCTATGCAAGTAGCCTGAGGACTTTCCTACAGGCTTCCTCAAATCTGGCAGCACGCGAGAGTCCCTCCTGATTAAAACGCGACTCGCGGGTTTTTTTTCTTTCAGCTCCCACTCTGTGTAACATCGCCAGTTTGATATATAGTTTACCAGTCATCAATTGTCATATTACGCAAGTGTTGTTTTATCCTCGGCTTTAGACGCTCCGTGAAAACTTAGTAACGTTGCGAACGTCCTCGAAATGTCTCGTTCGCACGTGAGGTTGAGATTTTACGGTTTTCCTAAAACGATAAAAAAATATTGGGGGTTGTTATTGCAACTCGAAAGAACAATTTTGCTGAAGGATTTAAAAATTTCATCAGATACAGATCTGAAAATAATTTTGATGGAATATAAAATAATTATATTATTAAGACATTTAAATTGATGGCTAGAATATAAACAAATTTTGCAGTATTATCATCCTGTTTAAGTATCTCACATAATAATTTTGATGGCTCAACAGAATTATTTTCAAATCTATACTCGGCTAAATTTTTAGATCCTTCAGCAAATATTTTTCCCGCGAAGATAGCAGAAAATTTCTATCGAAAATAAAATGTACCACTTCGGGCAAATATTGTTCTACAAATCGATCTCGTGCTGAAATAATACTAGCCGTCTGCTCGAAACGTTAATAATTTAGATCACGTTCTTAAAACGTTGACTCAACAAATACATAGGCAAGTCATTGTGGCTGTATTTACAGACTCATTACTTTTGCACGATCAATTATATTCGTCGTCTACCTTTTTCAAACGTTAATATCTCATTGGAGCGACGTGATTGGAATTTCTCTAGCGCCACTGATAAAAAGATAACGCGGTCTATCGCCGTTCTATTTACAGTCGATTACATCTCCAGGTTCCAACATAAGACAACATGACGGTCACGTTGTTTTTTATACTCGACGGTTTGCCATGAGGATGCGCCGATCGTGTTGCCACACGATTGCACGCGGTTACATGCGCCGCGGGTGAACCTCATCAAAGTTGCATGAGGGTTCTTTTTGATCGATACCGACGTACTCGCGTCCAGCAACCCTTCCGCGAAGGGACGCCTCCGCAATAACTCTTTTTGTCGTACGGTCGCGGAAAAATAACAACACCAAGTTAACGATCGATCAAACTGAATCGCGAATTTAAATTTATCACTGGAAAATTAATTATCAATCGCGCGTCTTATTTAAGTGATTTGTTATTATATTTGGAAATTATTTGATCCCAATATTTCGCAGTAAGCATAATTCCAAAAGTATAATTCCAATTAGTTTGACGTGTGATTTAAAAATTTGACGAGCTCTCGAAAAAATTGTGTAAAATGTTAATTCATGATGATTAAAACGAGAGTTTCTTTTTTTAAATATTAGGTATATATACTGCGGCAGTTCGTGACATCTCCGCCCATGCCTTTGTCGTGCTTGCGATATTTCCGCTCGTTATCACACCCGCGAGATTTCGCCGGATTAACTTTTATCGCGCTCGGGAGATTTGCCGGTTGGTTCATTCCACAAGGATTATTGCTCTGGCGAATAATTTGCCGAGGCTGGCAGCAATCACGCAAATTCAGCGAGCATCCGTTCATCTAAATTCACTCACGTACTTCTATCTCTGTTGCTCTCCTTCCTCCCCCCTACCCCCTTCTCTCTCTCGCTCTGGGACTTTTCGTCTTCTGTATATACCTGATCGTCCCCATTGATAAGCCGTTGTATTATCACCCACGAGACAATGTTTGGTGGTCAATACCTTGCGGAACGAGTTTACCGGCGATGCTACAGCTCGTTTCAAAACTTTGCACTCGACAAATGTCGATGCGGTTACCAATGGTTGCGTCGTGCAGATTTTAAGAGGGGTGGAACACACCCCACGATTCAAATTACAGTCTTGAAATTCGACGCAGTTGAAGAAGCTTCTCAGAAACGCAAGCTCAAAACTTCATTTCAAATTAAAATACATATTAATTAATATATAAAAATTGAATAGCACTGGAAATTGAACCATTGTTGATTAACATTCTACTTTTAATCTTCTGACATATACCGGCTCAGCGTAAAAAATTGAAACGGATTCGGACTTTATCATCTAAATTCGATATCTCTTTTTAAAAGTCCGTCTCAACATTAAGACAGATGTGAATAATGATACAGATGTACAAAATAAAGTAGATCGGATAATTGAACAATTCTTTAACCGATATCTCAGGATCTACTGTAATGACATCCCGGACAATGCATTACATAAAAGAAGGTAAGTAATTGCACGTGTGAGAATTCCTCCCTGCATGCGCTCTTTCCCGTTGATTACAATCTCGCACCTAATATTATTAAGCCTTATAAATTCCGCAACGCTTTCCCACGAATTCCCGCGTGCTGCCAGAGATACACGTCGCGCACCGACGTTAAATCTGACGTTGATCGCTCACTCGCCGCCTACCGACGACGCGGAGATTCTCCGCGTGCGGAAGCCGCGGGATATCTGCGGCTCGTGAGAACCTTCACTTTTCGAGCGCGGCAAAACTTCAACGACGACGATGACGACGACGATGACGAACTCCGCGGACTTCCTCCGCGTTGTAACTTACACGTGGTCGGATTATCATGTACCGTTCGCACCGATG